CGCTGGTCCCGCAGGGGGGGGGGGGCGGGGGGGGGGGGGGGGTCGGGGATGCGGCTCCACTCTAAATGTCATTATTGATGCCTTTGAAGTGGAGTTTTCTATTCTGACATAAAAGCTCCTTTGTGGACGGGACTGATATCCTCTTGTTTTGTTGCGATCCGGACGTCTGCGTGAAGTAATTATAGCACTGCCGTATAATGCGGCGCATGAGATGAAAGCGGCGGATGGGTTATTTTTATGCTGTAACAATGATTGGGGAGGGGCAGCCTGCGGATGTGGAACTACAGGTCTCAGCAGGACCAGATTTACTCTCCCTGACTTTATTGCTATCACACAGGAACTTTATTGCTATCACACAGGACCTAACAAGCCCCCTGTGTGATAGCATTCGGAGGTGACAGGTTCTCTTTTTGAGCTCTCCCCTCTCACTGTGCACACGGAGCGGCAGGGTTACTTTTAAACGCGCCGCTCTGCTCACCGCTCTCCATCCTGAAGACGTCGGCGGCCAGCGAGGGTAGGACGGGGCCGGGAGGACGGAGCATGGAGAGAGTTAGGTGCGAGGGGAGGAGGACCGGCTGCAGTCTGATTACAAGTGATCTCGGCGACATCGCCGAGGTCACTTGTAAAGAAACAAGCGGCGGCTTCCCCAGCTCTACATTTGGCGCGGCTTGTGCAAAGCGGGGCTAAATGTAGAAAACAAATTACCGCCTGGCGCCCGTGCTCCGGGCGTCGGGAGACTTCAAACCTGTGCCGCCCCTCTGCTCCCTGCCGCCCCGGGGCCGGGCCCCGGTGGCCTTGTCGGGAATCCGGCCCTGAGTCTCAACCTCTGCTCTTAGCTGCAGGAATGCATTTGGAGCTTTGCTGAATGTTATTAAATTACAATGCAGGAAAGTGTGCAGACATTACAGCTGAGGGCGGCTTCAGAGATTCGTTAGGTCCGGGCAATCCTCAATGAATATTTGGTCATTGTAGAGAACGAGAGTTATACATTCAGAATAAATGGCTCCCTATGGAGTGGGATGTAGTAGTGATCAGGGCCATCCCTATAATGAGGCAGCCTGATTGCAATGGGTCATGTGGAGGGGGTCGGGTGGGAAGGAGTGCTGGCAGGTGTGTTTTGCATTAAGTGGTGATGGGTTAGAACCCCTGTTAGGGTTTTATCACTTTTGTGTGCCCCCTCTTAGAAGATTCACCCTCTGTCTTCATCCTGGTGATCATCAATTGAAGGTAGATCCTAAATGTTACAGTTGTCTTCAGAATAACAGTAGTGGGAATTCTTTTAACGGGGACACTGGCTGCAGCAGGGGCTTTCCAAAATGGCATTACTCTTCACTTTGGAGAGATTTGCACCCACTTCCTGTCACATCTTTGATACAGGAAGTGAAGGGGAAAACTCACCAGTGGGGACACACAGGTGGAAAGCATTCACCCTTCACAGCTCTGTACAAAACCAGTTTTCTCTGGAGTTGTGTTTTAAATAGAAAGGTTCCAGTATGCTCCCCCAGTACACAGGGGTGGCGCAGACAGGAAATGCAATTGCTGGACCCCTCCGGAGCCACGTTTGACTTGCGAGCACTGAACATCGTCCTCTGTCGCCTCTCAGCGGCCGCGGTGGGCTTATTGGGCCCTCGATATTTCACGTCGCCTTCTCAAGCCGGGCAGTATAATCTTTACGAGGAACTCGATTCGAAGTATAGGTGGAAAAAAACACAATTGCCTCTTAATTGAAAACAACAAGGTGCAGTATATCGAGCTGCCGTTTTATGGAGTAATTGTTGTCTCGCCGTCATAATCCCGATCTTGACTGCTCCGGGTCCGATAATGAATAATAAAAGCTGCGCCGGCCGTAAAGCGTTTTATAGGAAGAGTCCAACTGAACTTTTATTACACTGAATGATTGGCCCGTCGTTCAGTGTCAGCAGCAGCCTGTATACCCGTCATTGTCTGTTTCTGTAGCGCCGACATAATCCGCGGTGCTGTGCAATCCGCAATTACAAAGTAACACACAATTATATCACTTAAAATGATTTGAATTTTGTTTTTAAGGACAACTTAATAAGAAGACTAAAAATGTGATCAACGTTGGTTAAAAAAAATAGCGTTAGTCAAAAAATATAAATGTTATTCTATCATTTGTCCCATTTAAAATGACACAAAATTTATCATTCTGGTACAAAGCATTGCAAAGATATTAACTAATGAAATGAAGGGTTTTTTCTTTTTAATTTGTGCTTTTTGCTAAACGCAACACTAAAAAAAAAAAAAAAAAGAACTTTTTTTCTAACTATTAATATTATATCAATAGAAACTAACGATTAGAAGAAAATAATAGTTAAGGGGAGAACAGGGAGAATTAAATAGAGATAATTAAGGTAAAGTAAGAGTTAACAAGCGGTTAAATGGGAACACATTTTATTTTTTTTAAACTACTTTTTTTTATTCATTAGTTTGCTTTACTGATATCATATGCAGATTGAATCTCGTCCCTTTGATCTGCGGAAGAATAAAACAGTGGATACAAAACTAACAATGTTACTTTGTATCTCTCTATCTCCCTCTGATCAATGTTTATAAACAATGTTACTTTGTATCTCTCTATCTGCCTCTGATCAATGTTTATAAACAATGTTACTTTGTATCTCTCTATCTCCCTCTGATCAATGTTTATAAACAATGTTACTTTGTTTCTCTATCTCCCTCTGATCAATGTTTATAAACAATGTTACTTTGTATCTCTCTATCTCCCTCTGATCAATGTTTATAAACAATGTTACTTTGTTTCTCTATCTCCCTCTGATCAATGTTTATAAACAATGTTACTTTGTATCTCTCTATCTCCCCTTCTGATCAATGTTTATAAACAATGTTACTTTGTATCTCTCTATCTCCCTCTGATCTATGTTTATACATTTTTACTTTGTATCTCTCTATCTCCCTCTGATCAATGTTTATAAACAATGTTACTTTGTATCTCTCTATCTCCCTCTGATCAATGTTTATAAACAATGTTACTTTGTATCTCTCTATCTCCCTCTGATCAATGTTTATAAACAATGTTACTTTGTATCTCTCTATCTGCCTCTGATCAATGTTTATAAACAATGTTACTTTGTTTCTCTATCTCCCTCTGATCAATGTTTATAAACAATGTTACTTTGTATCTCTCTATCTCCCCTTCTGATCAATGTTTATAAACAATGTTACTTTGTTTCTCTATCTCCCTCTGATCAATGTTTATAAACAATGTTACTTTGTATCTCTCTATCTCCCTCTGATCAATGTTTATAAACAATGTTACTTTGTATCTCTCTATCTCCCTCTGATCAATGTTTATAAACAATGTTACTTTGTATCTCTCTATCTCCCTCTGATCAATGTTTATAAACAATGTTACTTTGTATCTCTATCTCCCTCTGATCAATGTTTATAAACAATGTTACTTTGTATCTCTCTATCTCCCCTTCTGATCAATGTTTATAAACAATGTTACTTTGTATCTCTCTATCTCCCTCTGATCAATGTTTATACATTTTATGTGAGATGGTCAATTTTTGTGATAGCAGCAGCTTCTTAATCTGCTTTATTTAGACAGCAGCTCCTGGCTGGGGTGGGACATGTTGAATGATGAATGAATCTAGGATTGAAGCACCACACTTGGATATTCAAGTTGCGATACAAGTTTATTCCAAAGATAGACTGTTCACAATCCTAACATGTTTTGAGGGCTGTTTCTTCACTGCTTCATCGGGGCTTTAAAAAGTTACACAGTAAAACAATGTACAATATAAAGATTTAATAGATTAGGTATTGCTGTGTGTGTTGTAAGTTTGCACAGCATCCATCAGAAGCTGCTTCTCTATTCAGCTCCTGAAACATGTTGGCTTTGAGATCCATCTGTCCCTGGAACAGACTTGTATTGGATCAGGTGGCACTTTGATCCCAGATTCATTCATTCCGATCACAATCCATAGGTGTGCAGAACCTTCCTACCCAGTATTCAGATTCTCTATAATTGAACTGCCGCCATTCTTTTGGATGATGACTGTAATATAGAATGAGACTCGGGGGTTCCAGCGCTATTAATCCGCATCCTGGAATGTTCCGCGCGATGGAACGCCGCGCAGCGGGATGTTGTTCAGGCGTCTTTCCGCCTTTTCATAAAGCTTTTTACAGATTTCCGAACGGCCCAAATTGCTGCGTTCTGGAGGAGAGTCAAACACTTAGAAGCGACATTTACTGAATTAGCAATACCTCCGGATTACATAATTTCCTGCCCAATAAAGCCGCCGCCGATTCCGCGCACGCCGGGCGACATTTCATGTGTTTAATTCGCCTTTATGTGAGTTCTGGTACTCGGAGGAAACTTGTACATACGTTGAGTACATCATGTGATGCAGGAGAGCAGAGAAGTGCGGACGGCCTGCGCAGGCAATTATTGGATTTATCATCTTCGTAGCCGGCGGATTAATGTGCGCGGACCGGAGCGTCGGGTTGTCTCGACTCTTCGTTAGAGCGGCAAAGCTTCGGAGGGATAAGTGGCGCAATTTCACCCCAAAATTACAGATTTCACCTCAAATTCCATCATGCGGAAATGTTTTGTAACCCCTTCAGCTCTCATACTGGTAACCCCCCCACTGCTGCCCCCCCATACC